GGAGTACAGTCTTTTGTTACAGGGCCCTGTTTCCTTTGTCCGAGTTCGGAGACCCTGGCCATGAATATAAACCATACGTCTCTGATTTCGGAGTCCCCGGCAGGAAGTGGTTAATGCTGAAAGAGTGGCTTGAGGACAAGACTGGTCCTACAGGACTCATCCTTCATGAAAGATCACAGAAGAAACTTGGGAAGAAGGAATGCCCCCGGCAAGATCACAGGCTAAGAAACACTTGGAGCCACAACCCACCAGGACTTACATGTACAAAGTTCATACCGCTCGGCCAGCAAGTGACGGTCGTAGGAGATACTGACTGGAGGGGCAAGTGTGGTGATTTCACTGTTTCTGCCCGAGGTGATCCTGAGCAGAAGGCCCAGATCAAGCGCGCCTTCACTGGGGAGGAATTTCAACTACCAGGTAGCTGACTATAGTCTATCGGCACAAAAGCTGCAAACTAAGTGGCCACATGTCAGAGAGTAGCCTCTATTCAACGCACACAAAGAGCAACCTGCAGTTTTGATTGGGGCAGATCATATTGAGTTGACTCTGTCAACTGAGGTGAGAACTGGTCCCAAACTAGTTCGCCCGTCGCAGTAAAGACCCTCTTCGGAAGGACAGTCCAAGGAAGACAGGGACTTCAGCATCCAGGCAAGTTAGCAACCCCTCAGCAGGTGTTGTTCACAAGATGTCAGCAGCCTGAACATGATCTTTATCAAATGATGGAAAGATTCGTGGTCACTGATAGATTGCCTCACATACACGAAAAGGAGGCAACACGCTCCCGACATGATAAGCTTGCCATTCAAATCCTTGAGAAGACTACACAAGTGGAGGTGCAAGGAATACAACACTGGCAGACACCACTGCTGTGGAAACCTGGCTCCAGTCCACCATAAGGCACCCCACAAGCTGTTGAACCCCTTGCCCGTGCACATAAAAAAAAGATGGACAAAGACTCAAAAGTGGCAGAGTTCTTTACCACATACATCCAAAAGCTGAAGAAGCAGGGGCAGGTCCAGGAACTCGGGACAGTGGCTGAGGTTCAGGCAATGGGGACTCCAGGTTGGTTCATCCCATACAATGTGGTTCTCAGTAGCAACAAGTACCGACTTGTGTTAAACTGTTCCTTTGAATCCATGGGCCAGAATCTCAATGATGAATTTTTAGCTGGCCCTACATTGAATCCTGGCTTGATGGAGGTGCTATGGCGATTCTGTCAAGGCAGGGTCGCCGTGTCAGGTGAAATAACTGCGATGTTCCACCAGGTGAGGTTGTCTCCAGAAGACCGTCCCATGTTCCAATTTCTTTGGTGGGATACAAAACGAGATGATTGGTTGGTTTTCTAGTGGCTGGTGCTTCCATTCGGGGCTGCTTGTAGCCCATGCTGTGCTACCTTTGCCTTGCAGAAGGCCGCCAAAGATAAAAGTGCAACACATCCCTCTGTTCAGAAAACCATTGAGGGAGAAACATAT